TTCTGTTCTGTGTTCCTGCATCACTCACTGTTACCAGCGCTTAGCAAGCTTTTCTCCTAAAATCTTTGAATGGCTGACTCTTTTCATTACTCATGACTCTGCTCAAATGTCACTTCATCCAAAAAGTTTCCTCTGACCTTTGTATCCTTTATCCCATCCTCATTCCCTGTTTTATCTTCTTCATAGATCTTATCATTTTTTTCTGAAATAACCTTGTTCATTTATTTATTTGTTAATTACTTATATCCTCTCAGTAAAAGTAAGTTCTAGTTGGGGGAAAGTAAGTAAACCATATACAGGATTATTATGTATAATTATGTATTATATTTATTAGGTATTATTTCTTACAATTGCATGTGAATCTATAATTGTCTTAAAATAAAAAGTTTTTTAAAAGTAAATTCTGAAAGAACTGGGATTTTGTTTGTTTATTCAGAACTATGTCCCCATCATCAGAACAGAGTGCCACTGGGCACTAAATAAGTCCTTGTTGAATTAATGAATGAATGATGTACTTGGTCATTTTTTTTAGAAAAAAGAGAGAATACAATTAATAGCAGGGGATCCTGAGCCAAGGAATCCGAGGATCACAGAATTTAGCACTAGAATCCTTGTACAGGATTCGAATCCAGGTCTCCAGAACTCTTTCCTCTATTCCATGCTTGCTGTTGTTTGTTGCTAGGTACTGTCCAGTTGGTTCGACTCATAGGGACCCTATGTACAACAGAACGAAATACCACCCTGTCCTGCACCATCCTCACAATTGCTGTTATGCTTGAGCCCATTGTTGCAGCCACTGTGTCAATCCATCCCATTGAGGGTCTTCCTCTTTGTCGATGACCATCTACTTTACCAAGCATGATGTCCTTCTCCAGGGTCTGGTCCCTCCTGATAACATGTCTAAAGTATGTGAGAGTAGTCTTGCCATCCTTGCTTCTAAGGAGCATTCTGGCTGTGCTTCTTCCAAGACAGATTTGTTCATTCTTTTGGCAGTCCATAGTACATTCAATATTCTTTGCCAACACCATAATTCAAAGGCATCAATTCTTCTGTCTTGCTTATTCATTGTCCAGCTTTCACATGCATATGAGCCGATTGAAAACACCATGGCTTGGGTCAGGTGCCCTAGTCTTCAAGCTACCTCTCCATTAATGGAGCATTGATTAGGCGACTAAAGTAGTGATTGGCATTGTTTTAGGAGCGATCAATCAGTCATAAGTCGTTTTTGTAGCTTATGATTACAAATAATCATAATAAGATACAAAAACTGATAGGACCATCACTTGTAGGTGCTCTCGGGTTCCCATAAAGGCAAGACCAGGCAGCACTTTCCTTAACTTGGGATTGTGGGGATGTATGCGATAGTCTGGAAGGTGCACTGCGGGCCCAGGTCCTCTTCTCTGCAGCTGAGGTTTCAGGTTTCAATCCTCCCAGGACCGCGAGACATGCAACGTGTGTACCGTGTGGCTGCCGCCGCCTCCGCCTCCACCCCTTAACCCCCACAGCTAACGAAAGATAATTTCAGACGTGCTGGCGCGTACCCTGCCTGCCAGAGGCCGAGGGTGTGCGCAGCGGCAGAGGCTCATTCTAGGCTACGCGAGCTGGGGGCGCTGGGAGGCAGTGATCACACTGGGCTGGGACTTCCTTCCTTCACTGCGGGACAACAAAACAACCCGGCTGCAGGCACTGAGCTCTTAGCAGCTGCCTGGGCAAGAGGCGCTGCGATGGGCTCCGTGCTGAGCAGCGACAGCGGCAAATCCGCGCCCGCCTCCGCCACCCGGCGGGGCCTGGAGCGCAGGGGGAGCCCCGCGCTGCCAGTCACGTCCTTCGACTGCTCTGTGTGCCTCGAGGTGTTACACCAGCCTGTGCGGACCCGCTGTGGCCACGTGTAAGTACTGGGTTTGTGCGCCTACCCGCTGGGGAGGGCGATTTTGGGGCGCGGGGGGGCCGGAACGCGTGGATACGGGGGGTTTCCCTCTGCCAGAGGCAGAAGCTGCAGGAAGAAACGTGGACCCATCTGGTGCAGGACACAGGAAAAATGCGCAGTCGGGAGGTGACAGGATTTCGAGAGGAAAAAGCCAAACACTATCGGGCCCTGCAGCCTCCTAGAGCTGCCTCTTCCCGAAGCCCAGGTGCGGAGCCCCAGGGATGGGGATTCCAGGCTGGGTCGCGTTAAAAGCCAGCGCTCGCCAGCTGGGGTACGTGGTCCTGGCTGGAGAACCAGAGCCCCACCCGGGCGTCGAAAGGGAACGCGCGCCGGACTACAAGCAGCGGGAACCCGCAAAGCACAATTATCCCGCAGAAGTGCGTTGAAAGCGCTGTGCTTCCCTCTCCCCAGGGAACCCGGGCGGGTTTTGTCTTGTAGGCTCTGTGCACGCGTTCTGGAACGCCCACTGAGGCTCTTACTCTTGCGCAAACCAGGATCTGTGGAAACTGTCTTTCTGCCCCCCACCCCGCCTCCCCTTTCCAACACAGACACCAGACAGACCCTTCTTAATATAGTCAAGTCAAACTGGAACGCCCAAGTGACTTGCTGTGGTCGTTAGAATTTAATGGAACCTGTTACTGTGGGGCTTGGGGCCTGAACATTAGCATGCAGCCAGTGAATGAAGCAGCTTAAAACCCAACAACGAAGTAAAAGATCACAGACTACCTGCTTTACGCACACCTCGCCAAATCAATAGACAGTGTAGATTAGAACAACTTAAAAAAAAAAAAAACACGTAATGTTTAACTTAAATTCGCCGTTAGCGCAAAGCTGAGATCATTTTCTAAGAAGAGTTTGAAAACAAAGTCCCTATATAAAATTGGCACGTTCCTAATGTGTGTTTGAGTAACGAGTAGCGGGAGTTGGATCTGTGAATTTGTTTTCTCCGTTTACTTAGATTATTTTTCCCATGGATGGATGGGTGTGTGGGGATGGGGTGGGGAGAGATGGATAGAGCAAGAACGGAAACCCACTTAATGTCTTCTTTGGACGGCTGACTTACTGTATAGCCTGATGAAGCGTTAGGGCAATACCGCAGTGGCTAGTAAGTGCTTTGGGCTTAACAGGAAAGAGAGAGAGAGAGAGAGAAGGACCATATTATAAATGCAAGCGCACAAAATGCTTTTAAAACGACCTCGGTGGTTCTTGACACTTACAGCCTTGTACCGAAGAAAAGCAATTTTCACCACTGAAGAGCCCATCAGAGAACCAGAGAAAATTGTGTAGCCCACACAATGTTTAAATAAAGACTGCCCTGGGCATTATTTTCTGGCTGTAGTTTCGGGGCCTGTTATTTCAGCTTTGTATTTTGAACTCAGTGCTAATCTACCTCATTTGTGATTACTCGTGTAGTTTCCTAGCTGTCCAAATGTAGCTCCTTAACATACTACCCAAGGGTCAGTATAGAAATCAAGATGATGTTGTGTAACAGTATAAAATATATTGATTAGTTCAGGGCAATCATAACCTACATTTAAATTTCATCTGTATTGGCATTAAGATTTGAAAAGTGTGCCAGGGATGATGCATAGTGGGCATGAAGTCTTGAAGATTCTTTTTTGAGAACTGAGACGGGTGTCTTTGTTATTGCAATTATCTGACTGGAGATTGTTTTCCCCAGTTTGGATTTTGAACTTACTGTTTGCAGTGTTTTTGCGTCTGCTAAAGGATAATATAAATTTGCAAAATGTTAAATCTTTTGTTTAATGTTTTTCTTTGTTGGAGTGAATAGGAAACCAACAACTGGAAAAATAGGCATAAAATAGCATAATAAGGGCTGGACAAATTGCCTTCCCTCACTTTACTGTTCTTTGTTTTGACAAATCTATGTCCATTGTTCTGGCTGTGGGCAGAATTTCCATATTCCTCCTTTTGGCAAACTGACTTGGGCCCCTTCCACTTTGTAAATGTTAACCAGTTTCCCTTCGGCACTGGAGATGGTGGTCGCTGTTAACACCATTTGTACTTTGTAAATGAATTATTCTATTCGATTGACTTAAATTGGAAAATGAAGAAATGCAAATAAAACCTCTCTATTATTCTGTATTGAAGCTAGATTTTCAAACTTGTTGAACTAGGTTGCTTATGCTAATTTCTGTTTAAAAACCTATTTCAAGTCAAGCAAGTATAATGATGACAACAATACCTTGAATGAATATATATATAGTACCTTATTGTAACCGGACTGTTCCAGGTCGGCTCGGCTGGCCATAGAGACAGTAAAAGTTGAAAGTGAAACAAGAAGCTTTATTTGGTTGGCCAAGCAAAGGAGCATACCGGGACTTGCGTCGCCAAGATGGCTCCTTGAACAATGGCTGAAACAGTATTTGATTAGGTGAAGGATCCTGGGGAAAGGAGCAAGATCATTGATTAGTCTGGCTGGAAAAAGACGTTCCTGGGGGCAGTTCCATCGTCTGCGCTTGCTCAGTCCAAAAGCCGGGCGGGAGGTTGGGGCTGGGGGTGTCTCAAACCGGATCTTAGGCCAGGACCCCTCGCTTTTGAAAGTGTTCCCCCAGTCCTGGGCGGCTAAAGTTTGGTTCTGTCCTGCAGGAGAAAAGTTCTGGGATCACCCAGAGGACAGGTTGATGGTTCTGTGCATGTCAGGCGGGCCAGATTTGGTGTTAACTGGTTCTGTGGTCTGCAGACCCCAGCCTCTTGTTTTTCCTGCCTTGGGCAGAAGTTGGCCAATTGCCTAAAAAACGTTTGGAGAGACCAGTTAGAAGGGGAGGTGGCTCATGCTACTCTACTAATAAGTTGGGGCTTGGTAATGGTACCCAGAGGCTGGGATCTCATTATAAATTTGTATTGTGATACAGTGAAAGAGTGAGCTTTAAAGAGGGAGAGCTGGATTTGAAATTTAATTCTGCCACCAATCAGCTGTGGGACCACCAAGGTGCTTAATCTCTTTGAATCTCAATTTCCTCATTTGTAAAATGGAGTAATGGAATTTTTATGAGTATTTAGAAAGTAAAAATAGCCCATAGTGAAGGCTTAAAACATATTAGTTTCTATTT